TCCACATTCCTTCTAGTTAACAACCAGTTCTCTACACCTCTTAAAGCAAACTCTACCAAAGAATTTTCTATTCATGCTGTCTTCAGTTTCTCTTTTTCCATTCTCACTTAAACCCACAGCAGTCTGGTTTAGCCCAACCATACCAATGAGAAAGCCCCACATTCCTTGGCTTCCACAGTGCAACCCAGCAGCATCCATCAGTTAATTGCCCTTTTTCCTTCTCAAAGACACATCTTTACCTGACTTCCAGGACACTACATTCTCTTAGATTCACTTCCTCCCACAGCAGCTTCTTCCTCTGAGCCCCAACCACTGCAGAATGCCTCCGGCTCAGACCTCATAGACAGATATTCCTTTCAATCTGCATTTGATCTCCTGCAAACTGACCTTGCTTGTGCTTTAAAACCATCTGGACATAGGAGCCTACATCTAGCACCAGCACTGTCAATGAGGTTCAGATCCATATCCTATTCAGATATATAATGTACAAATGAACATGGTCAAAAGCCTCATGATTTCTTTCATCTTTGTCTTATAGTTTTCAGGGTAGAGCTCTTTCATCTCCTTGGTTAAATTTATTCCTAACTATTTTATTGTTTTTGATGCTATTGTAAATAAGACCATCTTTTTAATTTATTTTTCTGTTAATCTGTTGCTAGTGTATATATAGATCTGCTACTGATTTTTGTATGTTAACTTCATATTCTGCAACTTTCCTGAATTCATTGATTAGATCTAACAGTTTTTCAATGGAGTCTTTAGGATCTTCTCTATATATAGAATCATGATGAAAAAAACTGCAGACAACACAAATACCAGGAAAGATATCCAATGTCCATGGATTGGAAGAATTAATATTGTTAAAATGTCCCCAACTACCCAAAGCCATCTATAGATTCAATGCAATCCCTATCAAGATTCCAACGGCATTTTCACAGAAATAGAAAAAGCACTTCTAAAATGTGTATGGAACCACAAGAACCCCAAATAGCCAAAGCAATCCTGAGAAAGTACAATGAAGTGGGAGACATCACACACGCTGATTTCAAGCTATATGATAAAGCTACAGCAATCAAAACAGTATGGTATTGGCATAAAAACAGACAAATAGACCAAAGGAACGGAATTAAAGCCCAGAAATAAACTCATGTATAAAGAGTCAACTAAAATTTGATAAGGGGACCAAGAATACCCACTAGAGAAAAGACAGTCTCTTCAATAACTGGTGCTGGGAAAACTGGATATTTACATATAAAAGAATGAAACTAGACTCCTATTCTTACACTACTCACAAAAATTAACTCAAAATGGATTAAAAACTTAATCCATAAAACCACAAAACTCCTAGAAGAAAATATAGGAAAAAAGCTCCTTGACATGGGTCTTAGCAATAATTTTTTGGATGACACTTAAACCACAAGGAATAAAATGAACAAGTGGGACTACATCAAACTAAAAAGCTACTGCACAGCAAAAGAAATAATCAACAAAATCAAAAGGCAGCCTACAGAATAAGAGAAAATATTTGCAAATCACATACCTGATAAGGAGTTAATATACAAAATATATAAAGAATTTATACAACTCAATAGCAAAAAAACCCAATTTTAAAAAATCAGCAAAGAATCTGAATAGACATTTTTCTAAAGAAGATATTTAAATGACCAACAGGTACAGGAAAAGATGTTCAATGTCACTAATCATTAGGAAAATGCAAATCACCACAATGAGACATTACCTCACACTTGTTGGAATGATTATCATCAAAAAGGCAAGAGATAACAAATTCTTGTTAAGATACGAAGGAAAAAAAACTCTTGGGCACCGTTGGTGGAAATGTAAGTTGGTGCAGCCACTATGGAAAACAGTACAGAGGTTCCTCAAAAAATTAAAAATAGAACTACTATATGATCCAGCAATTCCACTGCTGGGTATATATCTGAAGGAAATGAATCACTATTTTGAAGAGGTTATCTGCACCCCCATGTTCACTGCAGCATTATTTACAATAGCCAAAAATGGAAATAATCTGAGAGTCCATTGATAGGTGAATGAATATAGAAAATGTGGTACGAATACACACACACACACACACACACACACACACACTCTGCCTGGATTATTATTCAGCCACAAAAAAAGAAGGAACTCCTGTCATTTGTGACAACATGGGTGGACCTTGAGGGCATTATGCTAAGTAAAATAAGTAAGACAGAGAAAGATACATACTGTATGATCTCACTTATCTGTGGAATCTAAAAACAAAACAAAAATAAAAACAAAAAAACCCCATCACAAACTCATAGAAAAAAAGATCAGATTTGTGGTGACCACAGGTGGCAGTGGGGGGCAGAACTGGAGGAAGGTGCTCAAAGAGTACAAGTTTCCAGTTATAAGATAAATAAGCATTGGACATGTAATGTACAACATGAGGACTATGGTTAACACCGCTGTATGGTATATTTGAAAGCTGCTGAGAGAATAGATACTAAAAGAGCTTATCACAAGGAAAAAAACATTTTTTTCTTTCTTTTTTTTTGGTATCTATATGAGGTGATGTTAACTAAACTTATAGTGGTCATCATTTCAGAATATATGTAAATCAAGTCATTACACTATACACCTTAAACAGTGCTGTATATCATTTATATTTTCATAAGACTGAAAGAAAAAAGAACACGGTAAATGTAAAAAGAGATTATGACTACTAAAAATGCAGACCAACTTTCCACTTTTAAAAACTAATGGGGTAGGTGGGTGACACAATATGACCAACTGATAGAGCTGAACACACAAAATAGAAACCTTCATACATTTTTTTTTTTTAAAGATTTTATTTATTTATTTGACATAGAGAGAGAAAGAGAACAAGTAGGCAGAGAGGCAGGCAGAGGGAGAAGGAGAAGCAGGCTCCCTGCTGAGCAGGGAGCCTGATGTGGGACTCAACCCTGGGATCATGACCTGAGCCGAAGGCAGCCGCTTAACCGGCTGAGCCACCCAGGTACCCCCCCTTCGTACATTCTTGCCAAATACACCTGTACACGTATAAAAGAATTCAATGCCAAACAGCAAAGGTAGTGGGGAAAAAAATCCAATTTTTGTTTGAAAATATAGAAGCAAAACAGTAATAAAAACTCAGACCCCAGTATATAAACTGTAGAAAGAATGTGTATGGTCAATTTACAATAAAGTAAAAGGCTAACAATTCCCTCCCTCAAAAAAAAAAAATAATAATAATAATGATAAGGCCTCATGATTTTCTCACCAAGAAAAACCAAACCAACCAACCAACCAAACAAACAAAAAGAAAAACCAAATAAAACAAAACCATCTGATCCCCTGCACCACCCTCTTGCCTCACCTTAGGCAATGTCAGCTTATTTATGAAATACCCTTTGCCACACCTCTTAGCCAGTCTTGATCCCTATTTTTATCTGATTTCTTTCCATAAAGTTTATCTTCTTTTGACATTACTTCTACTTTACTTCTTGGGTCCTCATCACACACTCCCCTACAGTCAGGGCTGTAGTTGCTATGTCTCCAGGATATGCAACGGTGCCCAGCACAAAGTAGGCCCTCACTAGGGTGGGAGACATGGCTTTCTGTAATTGCATGGCATCAATTTCAACAAGGACATTCAAATCCCTCTAATTGTCTTCTTTTCCTGTTCTTTCCAGAAACTATATAAACCACCACCATTTTCTTTTGATCCTTTAAATTTCTCTGCTTTGGGCATATGGCCTTCTGAGTTATTTTATGTTAACATATACATATGGTGAATAGGCATGAACTGACCCACCATGCTACATCCATCCCACTAGACTCTATGACATCTTTATGCTTGTGCCTCCACCCCTACACTTAAGATGGGCCTCTCCTCTCCTGATCCCCCTCCCCTACTTCCTTCCCTGGACACTGATAGAGCAATTATCCCTAACCACTCTGTCTCCACTGGGTCCTCCTCATTATTCTCTAAATAGGCCTCATCTTTCCTCTGGTGACTCTCTGGACCTGATATCCCTTTCAATCCACTAGCAGCTAATCTCCACATCTGACTTCTCGCCTGAAATCCTAGTCCTAGCAGAAGAATCACAGCACTGTCTCTACTCTTTGTCTTGGACACTCCTTGAGTCATGGGTTCCTGGCTTCCTCCCCTGCTAGTTCACTAACATTGCCAATGAGCTCTCAGTATACACTGTACCTCCCTGCCTCTTGATGTAAACATTTCCTAAACAGATCTAAACCTGTGTTTTTCATTGCCACACTTACTCTTTCTACTGAAACTCCTTTTTCCTTGAGACTCTACTAAGTTTGCTTTTATGGCACTGCTTCCCACATGTTCTCATTTTCACTGAAATTTTGTTTTCATTGTTTTGTTCTAATTTAAAACACAAAGAGACCATGTATTACACAGCGTTGGGACACAGCTCTTGGAATGCATACCCCTATCCCCTTCACATGTCCTGCTTGACCCCCCATGGCCTGGCCCTTATGGTTATTCATATACATACCAACCAGTTTCCTATCTGGGTGTCTTTGCTCTCTCATACATCTTTGCATTTGCAATGTTCCCTTGGACAATCTCCGTAACCATATTTGTAAAAATAAACCGAATATATTTATTTCTATTTCCCTTTTTATAATATAACTTATTCAAAAACAGGAATAGTCATTTACTTGTCTTAATTGTCTAAGTATCTGGAATACTGATGCTCAACAAAATTTGATAAACCCAAATAACCAATCCCACTAAGGATTAATCACGTAAGCTGTTATGACTGAAACAGTGAATGCTTGACTTGGATAAACAGTTCCCTCAATCATCTCCAGAAATTAGAACTTCTATAATTGCTTATCAAAGTTACAATTCTATTCTGTCAATTTTCTTCCCCACGTAAACAAGTTTAAGTATTTTTAAATTAACATTTCAGGTATTTGGATTTTAAAGAAAGATAACAACTTAAGAAAAAAAGGATTTAAAAAAAAAGGTGTAATTTAACCTTAGAAGCTTCTTCTTGTTTGCTGATGTGTCTGGAATCCTGGGAAACGTCTGTTTTTGGGGTGTGTACAAAATGGTCTCTGCAGTTTTCACCCTCGGCTTCATCAGTCTCTCCATCTGTCTATCATCAGATCCAAAATCCATGTGGTATTTGGGAGAGGATTCAGAATCAATGAACAAGACATTCTCTGGGTCATCTTCCTTTTCACTATCTGATGAATATTCCAAAATTTCTGTAGAACTCTGAAAAATATTAAAAGAAATGCAGTTAAATTTGGAGAACTCTTTATTCAAGTCCATATTTACATATGTCTTTATTCCATTTTCTTCTGGTTATATTCATTGAAATAACTTTGTAAATAGTTATAGGTTAAACTTTTATTTTGAAATTACTATCAACAGTTCCTATTTAAGAATACAAGTCATTCCCTCTTTTTCCTAACATTTCCTAAAATGTTTCTTACTTTCTCCTACTCAAATTTCTAATTCAAAAATGTTTTTGAAAAGTGGATTATAAAACAGAGATCATATCATATAGTGAATCCTGGACAGGAGAATCAAAACTTTTTCTGTGATGTCTTCTGTTTTTACTTAGACACACACTAAAATATTTAAATGTGGTAGGTATCTTATTTTCCCATTACTTGGTTTTGCAGGTCAGTCCCATTTTGTTCTAACATCAGCAACAATTTATCCTTCAACATTCTAATTTTCCAGTGTATTAGGAAGCTCTTCTAATTTAATATTTTTTTAAAGATTTATTTATTTATTTGAGAGAGCGATAATGAGAGTACATGAGAAGGGGGAGGGTTAGAGGGAGAAGCAGGCTCCTCGCTGAGCAGGGAGCCTGATGCGGGACTCGATCCCGGGACTCCAGGATCATGACCTGAGCCGAAGGCAGTCGCTTAACCAACTGAGCCACCCAGGCGCCCCTAATTTAATACCTTTACAAAAATTTAAATTTATTAAATGAAAACAGTACATTTAGTTGAAATGGATCTTCTGTACCCACTCAATTTGTAGGGTAGGCATGGGGTCCTTCATGAGGAGCCCTGCTTATTTTGATGGATCAACATGGACTATGTCCCTGGCACTGTAGCAGACACTTGGTTAAAGAGAGGATACAAGTGTATGAGTGTTACTGTTGGTTAAATCGGTGTGTGTGTGAACTAGTATGTGAGTGTGCAGGGTAGCACTAGAGTTTTCATCATTTGCTAATCTAATCGTAAGACAAAAAGTTTACTTTTTGTGGCCTTTTCTGAGATTTTATAGTTAAATCCTTTTTAAGAGCTTAAAAAAGGGCGCCTGGGTGGCTCAGATGGTTAGGCGACTGCCTTCGGCTCAGGTCATGATCCTGGAGTCCCGGGATCAAGTCCCGCATCCGGCTCCCTGCTCAGCAAGGGAGTCGGCTTCTCCCTCTGACCCTCTTCCCTCTCGTGCTTTCTATCTCTCATTCTCTCTCTCAAATAAATAAATAAAATCTTTAAAAAAAAAAAAGAGCTTAAAAAGGACATCACTCCTTCCCACATCTCCAAAAAACTGCCTGGGTAGTCACCTGTTACTAGGCACATTTAAAATAAGAAAAAGTAAATGAAAAAACTTCTCAAATAGCTTAGTTCCACTATATTTTTCACAATCTCAGTTGTATGCTTAAATTACTGCAGGTAGCTGATAACCCATTAATAAGCACTAGACTCACATGTTTTCCCCACAGCACAAATTCTGAATAAATATTAATAGGCCACAAAAAGAACCAAAGCAGTTTAGACTAAAAATTAACTTGCGTGATACTAAAAATTTGCATACATTGAGAACTCCAAATTCAATTCATCTTTTTCTTATGAAAAGTCTTTTTTTTCAGTGCCCTGAAGTTTTACACTTCATCCTAAAGCAGGATTTCTCAACCTCAGCACAATTATCATTTGGGCTGGATCATGTGGTGGGAAGTCTCTTGTGCACTGTAGGGTTGTTTAGCAGCATACCTAGCTCCTACCCACTAGATAATAGCAGCATGATCGCACCAGTCATAACTATCAAAAATGTCTCGAGACATTGCTAATGTCCCCTGGGAGACAAAAATCACCCCTAAGTATGAACCATTGTCCTAGAAAAATGTCAGCAAATAACCAACCACATTTGGCCTATGCTGGAGACTCACAACCAGAAGTGAAGGGGACACAGCACTTCATGGGGATGGAGAGGTCAGAATGAAACGCATTAGTACCCCCTTCTCTGCGGGGATACATTCCAAGACCCTCAGTAGATGCCTGAAACTACAGATAGTACTGCATCCTATACAGACTATGTTTTTTCATATACATACATACCAGTAATAAAACTTAATATATAAATCAGGCACAGTAAGAGATTAACAACAATAACAATAACTAGTAATAAAATAGAATTATAGTGTAATAAAATTTATGTGAATGTGGTTTTCTCTCAAACTCTTATTATACTATATACTCATCCTTCTTCTTGTGATGATAAAATGCCTACTTGATGAGGTGAAGTGAGGTAAATGATGTAGGCACATGACGTAGTGTTAGGCTACTAATGACCTTCTGATGATAAGTTAGAAGGAGGATCTGCTTCCAGACTGTGGTTGACCCCAGGTAACAAACCATGGAAAGTAAAACCACAGATAAGGGGGATTACTATAGTTACAAAACAATGTGTTAGAAGTATTGTAACCGAAGTATTGCTCAGGCTCCATGGGGAACATGTAAGAGGAACAAAAAAATCCAGGTGGGGCACAGGAAGAAGGGAAGAAGAACTGCCACCTAAAGCTGAATGCTAAGTGTAAGTTAATTAGACAGAAAGAAGAGCAAGTACATTCAAGGGAAAAGGAACAGGAGGGACATGAATATGAGGCCAGAGAGAACAGAGCACGTGCAGGAAAATCTACAAGCAGCAGCCAAGAGAGGTTGTATGAGGACCTTGAAAACCATAGCAGGGCATTTGGCTTTATTCCAAGGCAGTGGGGGAATCACTGGCAGTTTCCACAAAGGCTAACAAAATCAGATGGAATGATCATCCAAACCACATTCTGAACAACAGACTCTAATATGGAAGAGAGAAGGCATCAAAGACTGCCAGTAGGAAAGCAGCTGGCTAGAGGTTCTTCATAATCAAAGCAGAACACAAAGAGGATGTGAGTGGGAGTAAGAATAGGAGAGGTACACTTGAAAGAAAATGAGGGAAGAGATGTAACCACACTTGAAGATTCTCACATGTGAGAAAGGAGAATGAAGACATATTCAAAGAAGACCCTAAGCATCTGTTTAGGCAACCAGAAAAGTGTGCTCACCTAGAAAGGGAATTCAGAAAATAAATCTGTAGAGGAGTAGTTGCTAATATACATTTGGTTTTGATATGTTAATGTTCTGATGCTTATGGAATAGCTGAGATAAAAGTGGCCAATAGGTAGTGGCTTTATGGGTCTGGAGTTTTAATAAAGTAATATGGGATAGAGATATAACTTCAGGAATCATCAAAACAAAAACTGTGCATTAAAGTATGTGAGTTAGAAAAGACTGTTCTTCTAAATTCTGTAAAAGTGAGAAAAGAAGGTCCAGGCTGGAACCATGGGAATACGATCACCATTTAAGCTGTATTCAGGTGAGAGGAGACAGAAGTTTCGGATTTGAGAAAAAAAGAGATTGCACAGTTTTAAGAAAACTGTGAGACCTTGGAAATAGTGTGCTATAAAGAATAAATGATGCAAAATGGTCCAGCCACTTTGGAAAACAGTTGGCAGTTTCTTACTAAACTAAATATACTCTTAAAATACAATCCAGCAGTCAAACTGCTTGGTATATACTGAAAGGAGGTAAAAAGATGTTCACATAAACACCTGCACACAGATGTTTAGATCAATTACTCATAACTGCCAAAACGTGGAAGCAACCAAGTTGTCTTTCATTAAGTGAATTAATAAACTGTGGTACATTCACACAATGGAATAGTATTTGGCACTATAGAGAAGTGAGCTATCAATCCATGAAAAGACATGCAAGAACCGTAAGTGCATAGGACTAAGTGAAAGAAGCCAAACAAAAAAGGCTACATACTGTATGATTCCAACTATATTGCATTCTGGAAAAAACAAAACTATGAAGACAACAAAAAGATCAGTGATTGACAGCAGTTATGGGGGCGAAGATGAATAAACAGAGTACTCTTGGACAGTGAAAATACCGTGTATGATATACTGATGAATATGTTATTATGCATTTGTACAAACCCACAGAATGGACAACACCAAGAGTAAACTTTAACATACACTACGGACTTTGGATGATTATGACACGCCAATGCTGATTCATCAATTGTAACAAATGTACCATCCTGGTAAGTGATGCTGATAATGGGGGAGGCTATAGATGTGTCACGGCAAGGGGTATATGGCAAGTCTCTAAGATCTTCCTCTCAACTTTACTGTAAACACAAACTGCTCTAAAAACATATTAAAAAAAAACCCCAAAATAGGAATAAATGGAAGGGGAGGTGAAAATAGGAGACCTGATAATTCTTTCAGGAAGCTTGGAAATGCATATTTTAATTTCTTCCAAAAATAGAAAAGACAACATAAAAAGACACATTTGCCCAGCTATGAACAACTCGTATGACAAAGTTGAAGATAAAATCATGAAAATAAAAGTGTACTCGAGACTCAAGTGTATCTTCCAACCACAACCATGAGCTTTAAATGAATTTCAAGGAAGAATTTTTTTTTAATGATTTTATTTATTTATTTGACAAAGAGAGAGACAGTGAGAGAACACAAGCAGGGCGAGTGGGAGAGGAAGAAGCAGGATCCCCGCCCAGCAGGGAGCCTCATGCGGGGTTCAATCCCAGTACCTTGGGATCATGACCTGAGCCGAAGGCGGACTCTTAATGACTGAGCCACCCAGGCGCCCATCAAGGAAGAATTTAATAGCATTAAGATGGGTAAGATTTAATAGAAATTTAGGTAGTAATTCAACAGTTCCATATATTACCTGGTGCTCATCACAACAAGTGCACTCCTTAATCCCTATCACCTATTTCATCCACCCCCGCCATCCACCATTCTGGTAACCATCAGTTTGTTCTCTAATGAAGAGTCTGTTTCTTGGTCTCTTTTTTATTTTCCCTTTACCTCTGTTATGTTTCTTACATTCCACATATGAGTGAAATCATATGGTATCTCTCTTCCTCTCCCTGACTTATTTTGCCTAGCATTATACTCTGTACTTCCA